AAAACTGAGAACCTGCTGACAAACAGCAGTGCTGCACTTGAGAACACATTTCAAATGTTGTCATCTTCCTCTCTTAATGTATAAATATGATTCCCAGTATCATCTCCATCTATTCTTGGAAAAAGTGATACTGGTTTGTTTTAGTGGCATAGCCAGCCCATTTACAGAACATCTGTACTATATTTTTTATTCAAAATGCATTTGAAAATTACCATGACTATTGTTATTGCTCATTTAAAATAAAGGAAGGAAGCAGAAGTTAGTGGATACGCGTCCTAGAATGTATTTTGGAGAGTCAAAGGGTCCAATCCCAGGTTTGTCCTCTTTAGCTGTGTGGTGCTGGGCTATGAAGAAATGTCTCAAGGCATTGATTTCTTCACTCCTACACCATGGATAGTAATATTCACCTTGCAGTATTATCAAAGGGGACCATATGAGTTAATGGGTATACAAGTCTTAGAATAGTTTAACTATTTTATTATTACTTCACCTTGTCTGAGAATATAATTTCATAGCTAGTTTTTTGGCATACAGAGAATCATTTCAGACTATTCTACCAGGAGCTGGGGCTGTGGCTCAGTAGCAGAGGACGTATGAGGCACTGGGTTCAATCCTCAGCACCACATAAAAATAAATAAATGGAATAAAGGTATTGTGTCCATTTATATCTAAAAAATGTTTTAAAAAAGAATATTCTGCCAAAAGGTCATTTATTTTTACTTAAATCCTTCATCACTTTAAAACCACATAGTGGTCAGTCAACCCTTTGCAACTTCTTTCTAGTGTTTACTTAAATATGAATTTTATGGAATTAAACACAATTTTAACAATTATAACATTATAATTCATTAATTTGGTTAATTTCTATCTATACTTTCACTGCAATGTCCTTAAGAATTGACACTATTTGTAGTTTTCTCATAACCTACAACAAATGATGCTTTGCACAAATGGTTCTTAATATAGTGAATAAAAATAAATGCATAATTCATGTTGAGCTTGAATTATAGTAAAACATCTTATAACTTGATTTTTCTGTACATATGAAATCATATCACATGTTCTATACTAAGTAAAACAAGTTGTAACATAAAAATATCTTCATGCAGAAACCTTAAAAATTGATTACCAAACAATTAAATTTCAACTCATGAACTTACACATATATATGAAATCTCACAAAAATAGCATTTAGGAAAAGAGTTCATTGATTTTTTTTTACTTATTTCATAATAAATGAAACCAATCCATGTTATTATTTAAATATCAATAAGAAGAAAATTGTCTCCTATGTAATTTGTATATATTATAAATATGAAATAAATTATAGGACTTCAGTGTCATGGTCACTTGCCCTCTTTAACTAATGGCATTTGTTACATTAATACCAAAATATTTAGATACATTGGCCTGTTGAATTTTTCTGATAATTTGAATGAGGTGAAATTTTGAAGCTTCCCTCTCTTTTAAAATTCTTGAGGTTAATATTATAAAAATAACAAATTAGTAAATCAAAGAGCATTATTAGGAGCCTAATAAAATTATTTGGACCTCTGACTATAGCAACACTGATAAATGACTGATTTTTAATTAATTTAAAGTTGTTCTATCATTGTACCATTTCACTTAACCTGAGAGTTTTTAATAGAAGAGTCACGTCAAAACATATACTAGTTCAACCTGCAGTTTGGTCTACTTAAACAATTTCATTCTTCATGCAAGAGCAAGTAATGGGTATTTATTTCTCATTCATTCACTATGATAATAATATCTGATCAGTGGGATAGCTTGATCAATGAGGTCAGCTTAAGGAATTGGAATATGAATAATGTTTACTTTAAAAGTTCATTGGCAAAAAATAAAGACTCAAAATTAGCTTTTATTATGGAATCTCTAATTATCATGTGATGATATTTTGGCATCTTTATTTTGTCCTAGAAGACTTCTTTGATGGGTCTGATATCCATTCAATCGTCTTTGAAGAGATACTGAATTCCTCAAAATGGAATTGATGGTCAGTCTGTTTTAGGAATATTAATTTGGCATCACTCTCATATTGTGTGTGTGTGTGTGTGTGTGTGTGTGTGTGTGTGTGTGTGTGAGAGAGAGAGAGAGAGAGAGAGAGAGAGAGAGAGAGAGAGAGAGAGGAGTATATATAACCCACATGATTCTCACGAATAAGCATGGCTATAGAACTGTTGGCACCCAATCCACAAAATGTACTTTGGTAAAAGAGTCCAGGGCTCCAATGTTAGGTTTGTCATCATTAGCTGTGTGACACAATGCTATAAACAATTTGAATTCCTTTGCTCCTACACTGTAGATAGTAATACCCTGCAAGTTTATTGAGAAAATTGATTTCTTGGACACATGAGATACATATGTACAGATGTATGTTATATACCTAAGTTCCGTGCTGACTATGAGGGCTAAGAAACTACTTGTTATCCATAAACTAGGATTTCCTAACTCGCATTTTGCTAAAATCTACAGCTTACAATTTGGGAGAGCATGTGCACTAATTATAGAGATAAGTAACCAAATATGGTTCTACAAATTTAGGAAATCTAATTTTTCAGTGACTGAAGACTTTTATTTTCACACAAGGGTTTATACTTTCTTCCCTGTTTCAAGTAGTTGAAGCTCAAGGCTCTAAAAGGAGGCCCTGGACATTATTTTTATGTCTATTATCACACCATTACCATGGTTTTGTAGCTACCGGGAGAAAGAAAACTTTTATAGTATGGAAAAGATAAGCAATGGATTATCCACAAACATTTAGCTTGAGGTAAGGCAGGGGTCTATTACTCCTACTTCAAAGTGATTTTAGCAAGACTCACAATGGTTTTGTATTAAATAGTTTAGGAAACTACTTTTCATAAATTAATTGTCCTCAAAATTCTATAGGAATTAATCATTGAAAGTTATCAAGAGGGAAGAATTAACATATGCAAGTACAGCAGATACAGAACAGAAGGGAAGAAAGATGTCCACTGCAAGCGAGACTACAGCAAACAGTATACAGAGAATGCAGGTGGAGGGTCCAGCAAGACAAGGTGACTGGCATTCAACTCTACAATAGCACATTCGCTCAAGTAGTTCACTTCATTCTCTTGTGTCTGAGTCTAGCTGAGCAAGAAGGTCCAATCTGAACAAAAATGATAAGGAAAAAAACACTGTGGTAGAACAGCCTGCAATTTACCTTGGCAAGAGTTTTTGAGTTTTCTTAGGGTACAGTGGACATAGCAGATAGGAACTGGCATGGAGAAATTATACTGTTAACTCACTCAAGAAGGCTGCTGGACAATCAAGAGGAAATTAAGAAAGTCTAAGGTTTACCATTGTGTGGTTGTATCTGATTCCTATGCAAATGTCTCCAAAAGCCCCCAACCTCAAAGAATCAAATCACACAAGAAAATAATTGGCCTTCAGACTTTTACCATTACTATCAGTGCAACTCAACACTAAAAGTGGTGGGACAGATAAGAGGAATTCATGCATTTTTATTTCTTTCACTCCCATCCCAAGAGACCTGAATATCTATATCCTTATCCCCACATTCTCAAATATACAAATTATGGGTTCTTTGTAATCTTCAGTCATTTATTTCCATTTTACCAAAAAACAACCTTGACATGGAATGTAAAAAATAACATTTTCATGTTTCTCACAATTCCATGAGTTAATATTAGTTTCACAAGGCAATGGGGAGTACACTGTGGTATTCATCTAGCAAGTGGAATTCATCTAGAAAGTAGATTGGATGAGAGGTTTCAAGACTGACATAACCATCAACTGACACGTAGTGTTGGAAGGCTGAACTGAGCTGCAGTTGTGATCTGAGCATCAACAGGTGATCTCTCTTTTATGGCAGCCTCAGAATAGCCAGACTTTTCACATGACAGGTTGAAATTTTAAGAGTTAAGTGTTGAAACAAACAAGGCAGTAGTTATTTAGCAATCAAGAGTTACCTGAAAGTCATGAAATTGGCTAAAGATATTATAAAGGCATGGGGTAAGGTATCTGACTGTTCATGTTGAGCTGCAGTTGTTAAAGATAAACAAAATTGTTCCACATTTATGCCCCCAACGAGTTGAGACTGATCAAAACCCCTCCACAGAACTATTCATAGCTTCTTTCTGATCTGAAAGGTGAAATTAGCTGCAAAAGTGTTATAAATTTGCACCAGATGCACAAAACAAATGAGAAAACAAAATGAAAGATACTTAGAAGGGATTTTCCAAAACTTTTAGGAAATCATAAGCAGAAGAACTAGGGAAATGCATTTCTGTTGAAAACAACCAAGTAAAAAGAGTCAAATGTCACATTTCCGCTCTAATTGATTACTAAAAGAAATTTTTATCACATTCTCTATTATACTGTTAAACCATAAGAACTACAATTAAGCTCAGTTGACAGGATTCTATTTTGGACCAAGCAGAAATCAACAAAATCAACACAAGGAACAATTACAAACAATTCTAGGGATTCTCTGCAGCTCTTTGCAGAATTGCACTTAAAAGTGTATTCCACAGTAACATTCATTAAAAATATATTCTAGTTACAGGAAAGAGACAGGGAGATGATTTTTTTAAATGCTCTTCTTGATTTAAAAAAATATTTTAGAGTGAGTAATTTTATTTGATTATTATTTCTTCTTGACCAGCCTATGAAACTCTTAGTGATATAGACACAAGGATCATGCATGGCAGAAAAGCTGTCACTCTGGTGACTTTTTGATTGTACACAGTGAAAACGATGAGACCTCACAATGAAATGCTTTTCTAGGTATTCATGGATCCTGCAAACAGGGCTCATTGGCAGCTGTCACAATATCTCTGGACTTATGCTAGGAGGAAAAGGAACAGGTTTCTGAGTTTCCCTGGGAGACCACTCAGCTGTCATTGCAAAAATGAAAAACATCTCAGCAGGGACTCATTTAAAAGTGTTAAATCCAAAGAACTGCGGTATAACATTGATTCTGTCCATGCCATACTTACTAACTTTACTCGCAATTATGGAGAAATTATACTGTGCAGTGCTTTCTCTGTCTAGTAATTCATTAGTGGCAATGGTTCCTTCTGTTCCATCTATTGTAAAGTAGCTGTCCCCATCACTCTTCCAATCTATGAAGTACCTGCATGTGAAAAGAGTAAATGCAAATGTGCAATGATTACACATTAATCATAATGGCAGTTAGGCTAACTTGACACAGTTCCTTATTTTCTCCCTGTAGCTATTACCCACCTTGCAATAAAGAAGAGTGTAAATGACAGCTTCTTTATTGCAAAGTCAGTATGCTCAAGGGGAAACTGGAAATAATTAAAGATTTAGTATTCCTGCTGTTCATATTATTTTAGGGTCTTGACACCTTGAAAGCTCAGCAGAGACTGAAATTCTAAAGCTGACCATGGGTTTCCTTAACCTGCTGAATATTAAACTTTTTTGAGCAGTAAAAAAAAAAAAAAAAAAAAAATCCTTAACAGTGGCTGTGAAAGGGCTTTGGATGAGGGAGACTTCTGGAAACAACAACAAAAATCTATGCCAGAACTGAGGTAGAATCTTGATGTTAACATAGACAGGGGAGAAATCACATTATGGAAAATGAAGGAAAAACTTTGACAATTTGGTGATTGTACAAAAATATTTTTCTTTATACAAACATAAAAGAGCCATTGCTATTTTATTATACTATATGTCAGGACAACTTTCAAAAAGAAGTGGTGACCTTGGCTAATGATGTCTTTTTATCGTTTTTATTATCTGACATATTTGGTAATAAATGTTGCTGACTTATGTGAAGCAATAGGAGTAGAACATCCAAGAAAATGAATAACAAAACAGAAATTGCATTCACTTAAGTTGTTAGGATATGGTGAACACATGAACTGATATGTTATCAATTATAATAACAAGAGTTAGCATTTTTAAAGCTTGCCATATTTCTCCCGATGTTGATAAATATTATAATTAATTCATACAGTAGCTATAAAAATATATTATCAATCTCTCCACTTTACTTATGAAATTATAGAAATGAAACCATAGAAACAAGAAAGAATTTGTCCAAGTTTACATAGATTCAATGTTTTATGCTGATATTTGAACAAGTCAGTAATGATCCCCATATGATCATCACTCTGTATTATTACCAAATTGACAAGGGATATTATAAGGAAGAGCTCTGCTAATCATATGGTGTGGCGCACAGAACATTTACCAACATTATGTTTCTGGCAGGGGAACAAAAGATAGGTTCATAACAGTGGCTGAGAGCAGGTGACATTATTGCAGCTGGCCCATTGAAATACCCATGCCACAAAAAGTGATCCTGTGTTCATCATGAAAAGTCAGTTAAGGGAAGTGTATCTCCAAAGAGCAGGTTATTATTCTGGCAAGCTTGTTATTATTCTGATAAGTTTGTAGTTCTCATGTCATTGCAGTCAGAGATCAAAACTTGTTTGCCTTTACAAATGAGATTTATGAACTTAACTTGTCAATATTTGTTAGTAATTGATTTTCCCACCTGAAGTTACTGAATGTAATGGAACAGGGTATAAACCGTGCTATTAATCTTTTTATATCACGGCTGTTGATTTGAGGTGTGAGAATGCATTGAAGCCATGTGATTTCAGTGTAATAGCTTGTCTTATAGGAATGCTCTCAAAAATATAAATGAAGATAAGCTACATTTAAAAGTCAGGAAGCATGAGGATATAATAAGTCTAATTCTCTCTGTAGCATGTTCTTTTTTGAAGAAGAAAGCATTGTCTCACACTAGTCCTTTTAAGCACTTCTATTCAACTAAATATATGCCTAATTGAAGAAGAAAATTGCGATGACTGAATGTGTTTATCAGCTAGCATTTTGAAAAGAATTATCAATGCATACTATGCTCAATCATGCAACTCATTATATTTGCTGAGTGTACACCATGCAGTAGACACCTTGCTAGAGTTGAAACATGATAATGAAGTAAAATAAAGAGTTGGGGTTACACATATCAACACATGATCTTAATGACTGATAGAGGGATAGGGAAGACCATAGGAGAGCCAAGAAAAGGCAACAAGTGTAAAATCAAATGATTCAGGCAAGACATCCTGTGCATGATGTTTGGTGGCACTAGAAGGATATGGAGAAATGATCCTGAAAAAGAGACTGAAATACCCAAAGTGAAGGGGAAAAGATGGTATTTTAGAGAGCAATGCAACCACACTAGCAGACCTGTGAAAGTAGTATGGAGAATTATACATTGTTAGTAATTGCTACAGAAAATACTTGAGAGGAACAGTAATGAGAAGATGAGTGATTTAGTTCAAAGAAGGACTTACACATACTATTAAGGAGGTAGGCCACATGCTAAGGGAGATCAACACTGCTGAGCAGGGTCACTGGGGCTTACATTTAATCCCTAGAAAAGTAACTTGTTGGATGTATTTGAAGAGGATGAGACTGTGAGCATTTCTGGATCTCCAGAATCTTGCCAAAAGACAGAGAGTAAGCAGGGTTGTAAAGAGACTTGATTCAACAGGCTTTGAGGAGTGATGAGGACAAGTAGGGACACTTCAGCCCAAAGAAGACACAAGATACATTAGCTGACTTTAAATTGGTAGAAATGGACACGTGCAGGGGTGACAGAATTACTTGTTATGTTTTGAGAGAATAGGTAGGACTGAAGAAGAGAACATATATAAACACAGATTTCAGATACTTAAAGCAAATATGTTTATATTAGAACTGTAAACATTTATAAGGGGTTTCCTCAGGAAATAGTACACACTGTGGGCGATTTTGGAACTTGCTCCAGTAAGTTCCCACTTTGCTAAAATGTACTTCACCTTCCATAAACTTTATTGAGATATAATTTACATGCTAAAAAATTCACCCACTTCATCCGTAAAATTCATTCATTTTAGGTATCATGAATGTTGTGCAAGAATGTGGTAGTTTTTAGAAAATATTTCAAATTTATTAACTCTATATGTATATATTGTTACGTGTTTAATTTTCTGGAAATTTCATTTTTATGGATAAAAATTGTGATGGGGTCAAGGAAAAAAATAATTCTGTCCCTGAGGAGTTTTTAATGATAAAAGACATTCTCTTGCCTCCTGTTTAAAAGTTATTTGTTCTTGTGTAGGTAGACCTTGGTGCATGATTTATATTAGGTACTCTCCAATGTGACAGACAAGAACCAGTACTTTATATTATTTTTAAATTTAAATTTATCATACATTTCTAAGAACATTTTAGAATACCTCTCCAATATATTACTTGTTAATACTTTCCACATTCATTTTTAACTTCATGTACACACATGTATTAATATTTTAACAGACATATTTGAGAGCACCTTACAGGTTTCATATCCCCTGGATCCTAAATACTTACATGTTTCTCCAAAATCAAAGACAACTAATTTGTTCCAATATTGTTAAGGTTAATGTTAACAATTTGGTTAGTCCAGAAATAAATACTTACTCACACACTTAATCTCAGAATAAAGTCAAAATAAACAGAGGTGAGTTCCCTGTAATTTTAGGCAATTCTGATGCCCAGCCTATGGGAAACTACAAGTCAAAAATAGTGGCTTTAACTTTTTTATGGTTTAGATATTAGGTATTGCCCAAAATATTATGTGTGAAGAAATGCAAGAAGGTTTATAGAAGAAATGATGAGGCTATGAGAGTCTGAATCCAATCAGTGAGTTAATCCCCTGGTGGAATTAGCTAAGTGGTAACTAAAGGCAGGTAGGGTATGTATGGAGGACACGGGATGTCTTTGGGGTATGTATTTTGTATTTGGTAAATGGAATCTCTCTCTTTTCTTTTTCATCATCATGTGAGCTGCTTCCCACTGTCACACTCTTTTCATGTAATGTTCTACCTAACCTCGAGGCCTAAGGAATAGAACAGGCTGTCTATGGACAGGACCCCTGCAACTGTGAGTCCTCAAATAATCTTTTCCTCCTGTAAAATTGTTTTTATCAGATCTTTAAGTCACAGCAATGAAAAAGCTAACCTTTATTGAAATCATATGCTAAGTGGCAGAAGGAGACCCCCTTACCAAGAAAGGTCACTGACTAAATGTTTTCTCAGGGTCAATTAATCTGTGTTTACAGACTGATTTCACTTCACCAACTTTCATATTGCCCCACACTCCGTGGCAGGCCCAGTCTGATAGGCATAAACTTTCTCGGCTCTCCAAGATCAATATCCCTGAGCCCTTCCCCTATCTATGATCTTTGAAGTCCCACAGTATCAGATTCACTGAGGGATAGATGGGATATACTGCAAAATGATATAAGTGTGTTTTCTATAAAAAAAAGGTTGAGACATTTGTGAGGCCCAAAGAAGTAAGGTTGCCTAGGGTAGTTACTTGCTACAAAATGTTGAAAAAAAAAATGCGTGGCCATTTGCACAGAACCAAGGACTCAAATTGGCTAACTTTGCCACCAGAAATTTATAATCATACAAATCACGTTTCATCAGATTTTATGTAGTTTATATTTTCTGCCTTTTGATTAGATTGTTTATTCCTTTTACATATAAGGTCTTTGAATTAATATTGAATCTGCATTTGCCAGTTTTTTTTTTCCATAAGTTTTGTTTCTTTTTTCCTCTATTCCTTCTCTACTGTTTTCTTTTTCATTAAGTGAATATTTTGCATTGTGATATAAATCCTTATACTTTTTTTTCATTCATTTATTTTTTCTTATACCTATTCTGAGGTTTGACCATATACACCTTATCAGATTCAAATTCCCTAACTGAATTCCAGTACTATCTAGAAATATTGCCCCTATATAACTATGTGCTTTTTATTAAATATGGTATAAACATATTTACACCAACCTTTATGTATCTATGTCACAAGTCTAATAAAACATGGTAATAATTATGAAATATGTCTATTAAGGCTTAATAAAAGCAAGTAATTGGAGAAGAGCTTCAGAGCTCTGGGTTCTCAAGGACTCTGTTTCAGCCTGGGCAAATTCTCTGAGCCAGTGCTCTAGGCATTGGGTGAAGACAGCAGCCTGTGGACCTCCTGTTCTGCCTCTCATTGTTCAGGGTGTTTGGGCCCCACATTATTAGTCTTTACTGGGGTAGAACCTCCAGCTGTGTGTGGTACTGA